ATGCAAACGGGGCAAAAATGCGTTTTAAGTTTAGAAACATTTTGAGTCTCCCCCTCCCTTGCCTCACAGTGGTTTGGTCCAAATGCCTGCTTTCCTCTTTCACATTACCTCAGTGTTGCCAATTGGGCTACTTTAACACTGTTGCCGCGGGTTGAAGCGACCACAATAATTAGATTGGTACTGCCTGCTGTTAATTCCAGTGATGGCGTTCTACTATGTTGTCCGTTGACGTTGTACGTAATCATGTCACTGGAATTCGAGTGATCACTGTCCCAATGTGCAGAGAGCCAGGGAACTTGCCAGTGACCGAATTTGAGTGTTACCATGCAGTTACTAAGATGTTCTATGGGCGAATTCCCTAATGGCTTTTTTGCGCCCTTGAAGAGCACTTCGGGAAGTGGACGCCATTTGTAGGGATGTTCCAAACAAAAGTGAACAACTGAATCCCTTCATGAAAGGCCCTTCCAGAAGTCCGTTAGCGAAGGGAACATGTGATGGTCACTTCACCGAAGTGATTTCCGTTTGTGATCATGTGATCTTCAGTTAGGAGCTCTTGTGATGCTTTTTAAAGCAAAGTTTGGGTTGATTTCGACTTCACATACAAACGTAAGTAGAATAGGTTAATTAAATTTGTCTATTTTAATGTAATACAAAATATTTTTTGTCAGTGATAGAAAAATTATTTAAGACGGTAGTGTAAGCAAGTTTAGTTTGAAAAAGTTTAATTGTAAATAAGACACAATTAGACAATATTTGAATAAAATAATAATAATAATAAGAAGAAGAAATAATTATTTGCAACAACTGATGGAGTGCTGAATGCTGCACGCACGCGCAGTGTTGTCAAGGTAACATTTGGTCAGTCATTCCCTTCCTCAAGGGAGTTCCAAACGCTTAGACGAGACACTAATGCCCTACACCCTTCAAAGAACACACTTCAAGGGCTCTGCCCTTCGAAGGGAGTAGGGCACTGGCTGATCTAGCCTGAAAAAATATGCTTTTTTAATGCTATTTGAGCAAAATAAACAACATTTATGATACAGTTGTTGTCAGATTTCATTGGTGATTTCAAATATGAAATTTAATCGTAAGCTTAGTGAACAGTTTTGGAGAATTTGATGTTTCCCCATTCAAAGAGATAGGAGCTGCACTTGCATGCCCGAGAGGCGTTTCAAAGATGGCTGCCGAGTGACATGACTTGCCTTAAAGGGACTTTGGGTGTACTGAGTTATTGTGAAGGTTGCTAAGTTGTTCAAAGTTGTTCTAATTTGCTGTCAGAACAATGTTCAGGTGTTGTGGGTAAATGTGAGTGCTGCTATGCAGTTGCTAAGGTGTTTCAAGTTGTAGTTACTATGTTGCTAGGGTGTTGTTGGAGGCTGAGAGTGTTGCTATGCAGTTGCTAAGGTGTTCCGAGTCATTATTATGTCGCTAGGGTGTTGTTTGAGGCTGAAGGTGTTGCTATGCAGTTGCTAAGGTGTTCCAAGTCATTATCATGTCGCTAGGGTGTTGTTGGTGGCTGAAGGTGTTGCTATGCAGTTGCTAAGGTGTTCCAAGTCATTATCATGTCGCTAGGGTGTTGTTGGTGGCTGAAGGTGTTGCTATGCAGTTGCTTAGGTGTTCCAAGTCATTATCATGTCGCTAGGGTGTTGTTGGTGGCTGAAGGTGTTGCTATGCAGTTGCTTAGGTGTTCCAAGTCATTATCATGTCGCTAGGGTGTTGTTGGTGGCTGAAGGTGTTGCTATGCAGTTGCTTAGGTGTTCCAAGTCATTATCATGTCGCTAGGGTGTTGTTGGTGGCTGAAGGTGTTGCTATGCAGTTGCTTAGGTGTTCCAAGTCATTATCATGTCGCTAGGGTGTTGTTGGAGGCTGAGGGTGTTGCTATGCAGTTGCTTAGGTGTTCCAAGTCATTATCATGTCGCTAGGGTGTTGTTGGAGGCTGAGGGTGTTGCTATGCAGTTGCTAAGGTGTTCCAAGTGGTTAGAATGTTTCTAGGGTGTGTTGGGTGGCTAGAAGTGTTGCTATGCAGATTGTTCTAGGGTGTGTTGGAGGCTGTGAGTATTGATTTGCAGTTTAAGTGGTTGTTAATGTACTGTTAAGCTGTTATAGCCAGTTGTGACTGTTTCTATGTGGTTGCTAAGGTGTTCCAAGTAGCTGTTAACATGTTGTTAGGGTTCTGCAAGTGTTGCAAGTCAAAAGAGCCCAACTCACCATTTTTGTGAATGTTTTATCATTTGTCCGACAAAAATAAGACATCTGATTGTTTAAAAATCTAACAGCACATCACTCCTTTGTGTTCTGGTCCTCAAGTTATGAACTATATCAACAATGATAAACATATGTAAACATATCAAGTTGGTTTTCATCTTCGCTGGTGGGACATGTGTAACTGTGCATAAAAACCAGTCACGACTGACTTTAAAAATGGGAGAATATAAGGAAATCGGATGGACCAAAATACATCTGCACATAATAAGGAACACAGTTGTGTTCTGTTACAGTTTTAGTATCTGACCACAATCAAAATGACCTGTTTTAATCCACCCATATGGGAATAATGTGAACATGTCTAATTCTGCATTTAAATGTGTATTTGGGGCCCCACTCAGCGTCCCCAGCCAACAAAGCTCAAGTGTGTAAACACAGTACAGGAATAAATAGTGATGAAAATATCTGAGACGAAACAGCTGAACTAATCAAACAAACAGGCCTTAAGCAAACCTCACAGACCACTTCCCGCAGAAAGAGAGAGAGAGACAGACCCGAACAGAGTGCTTTCTGCTACAGGGCGAATGTCTGCAAGAGAGCACTTTGTTTCTTTGTCTAAACACTTTCACAATTTTAAAAACTTTGTTTATTCCCAGAGTAAAATTCGAATTTCAGTCCCAGATTTTCAGTTTGGTGTCAGACTCTTTGAACTCCACTGTATACTGAGCTGTTCTGAAAGAAACAGGGATCTACAGGCGACCCATTTGATAAAGAGAAGGACAGAGATTTAGTAAATACAGCGAATAATAATGTATAATAATGTAATAATTTGTGTATATATGTATACATACACATACAATATTATTGGGATTTTAAGTATTTTGAGCCAGCTGAGTATGGCAATAACATATATTCAAATCCAAATGTTGCCAAAGGGAAACTTTGTTTACATCTGTTTTATCTAATACGATACATTTGTCAGTCTGTTTATCTTAGATCTTAATATCCATCTCCATATCCATCCATTCCTTGTTAAAATTTCCCTTCCTCGTATGTTTACACACAATTTAATTTATTTTTTTAACAAAACAACCTTACAAACACCCTGAAGAAAACGGAGATCAAAGGTTACACTATTTATTTAGCACTTTGTTCATTTAGCTTTCTCCGACTGATCCAAGATCAGAAATATACTGTATGAGAATGTGCTTCCTTTACACACCGCTCAGAAAGAGAGTGAGAAAGATGTGGTAGAGTTTGACAGAAAGATTTCAAATTATTGATTTAATCTGTTTTCCTGCATTATACACGCTGAGCTTGCAGAAATGATCATTATGTGCAATACTCACAATCCCTTGCCGAAATTCAGGCCCTGATATAACATCAATACTTGGAGTCCGTGTCTTGACACAACATTGCAAGGCAAATTATTGTAATGCTATGCCGTAATGATTTCCCCCCACCCCTTAATATATGATCATATTATAATACAACTGTAAAATAAATTTATATTGTGTAAAATTATATGTCTGAGTCTGCAGCAAAAACTGACTTGAATGGGGCAGCAGCAACAAAATCAGATTCTGTATAAAGATTTTAATGTTTTCTTTATGAAGGTGTATAATATGAATATAACCATGATGGACTCTATAAAGACCAAAAAGTCAGATAAAACATTACAATATGAGCCTTAAGAAGCACTAATTATTAAAATCCAGTACATTAACCACAATAAACATGAGTAATGAGATCACTGCTCATCACCTCCTACTCTCCAATATTACTTATCATGTAAACTCATCATGTAAGTTGTTTATTTTTGTGAGTGGCATATGTTAATTTACGTAGAGAATTTGAGGGGAAATTTATTTTAATTAGTTAGATCCTATTAATTTCCCAATCCAAGTTTCCTATCATCACTTTTCAGTGGGTGATATGTCAACACTGACGTTATAAGATCTAAGGTCTAACACTTAGTGCGCTTACATGGACAACAATGTCTTATTCAGAATAAGGTAAATAATCGGATTACTGATGCCCATGTAAACATAGTCAGTCAGTACGTTTACATGGACAACAATACTCCGATTTTAATACGATTAAGACAATACTCGGATTAAGAATCTACCATGTAAACAGAGATTTTTGATTACCTTAATCCGGCTAAAGTCATAATCGAAGTAAACGCTAATCAAATTAAGACATGTAGAGTATTCCTATTTTAGTCGCATTATTGAAGTGCAGTAAAGACATGTACACACCTTAATCACATTACCGTCGTATTCCGGAGGGGACGTCGGATGGCGTCGCGTGGTGACGTAATGACGTGCGCCATTAATCGATCTATGTACTATAACATGTAAAACGGGAACATGAAAGGAATATTCTAAAAGCAACTCATGTAAACACCGTAATTGTAATATTGTCTTATTCAGAATAAGGTACATAATTAGATTACTGATGTCCATGTAAACATAGTCAGTGTGTCTTAACCAGGTGTGACATAGTTTTCACAACTTATGACTTGAAATATACAGCATGTGTAGTATGGACTACTTTTATGTCACTGTTTGGTGGGTTTTTTGTCATTTTTTTGCAGTATAACCAATGGTGTGTAATACAGTTGCACAGAAAAGTGTTCAACAGCGTGAACTGTTCCTCTGAGATACACACGTTGGTGGTAAATTTACAGCCACGTGTGAATCAAATGGCAAAAATGAATAACCTCACTCTGAACATCTATTTAAAAATGACACAAAAATAAAAAGGGACATAAATAAAACTTTAGATACCTGTGGCAGTAGGCCTGAGTACCAAAGCTCATTTTCCTAGAAACCACAGCTCGGTTTTTCCAGTGGGAATTTTAATTTCTTTTAATTTCGAGCTAAATGTAATATATAGGGATTTTTTTCTCTTTCTTTCACTTCCCTTCCCTCACTATATCCCTTCCTTCCTTGGGCTACACAATTATGCTGAACTGTACACACAGTAAATACAGCTTTGCACTAAATATGAGCTCCAAAAACAACAACATGAAGGGCTTTTGTATGCACACAAAACACACAGCTGGGCTTTTCTGCCAATTGTTCGTTTGGTTTCAGTTGACTGCAGAAAATTATTGCTTTAAATACTTGCAGCTACACCAATAAGCATCCGTGTGGATTTTTGTGGATTTTGCACTCAGAGCTCATTCATTCTTTTTATTCAAGAGAAAAGGGAACATTAGGCAGTTTTACTTACTACTCAATGAAGAGAAGCACATAATACTTCTTAGAGCTATTCATGACAAAGTCATACGAAGCTGCATTGAATGAATGTATTTCATATAATGAACAGCATACACAAACATTTAAAAGCGTCGTGTTCATGAAGTCTATGTATAGTGCCAGTAGGGCTGTTTGGCTCATTTCACGCAGCTGGAGCGATAAACTTCTTTCTCATCGAGATTAATTCTGACTGGCTGTACAGATTTAGATCAGTGCTCAGTTTGGGGAAGTGCAGAGAAAATCAAATCTGTGGAAGACTTGATGACAGAAATATGGACTAGCTGAAAACACAGGACATCTGAGTATTGAGTGATTAATTTCATGATGAAGTTAGGCTTCTAGAGGGAAAGTCATGTGGATTTTTTTATTATTACAGTCATTACATTCCAGAACCTAGGGACTTTTTTTCCCAATGAAAAGCTACAGTATATGTCACGTATAAAAATTCTTGAATAAAAATCCCCACATTCACAGTGGATCACAATGAAAAAAAACTCCCAAAAGTGCTATGCAAACATTTCCCAAAAAGATTTCTCAACATTACAGCATTATTTGCAAATTCATTAGTAATGCTGTAAACTAGAACAAACTTTACCTAGAAAACCAAAATATCAGTAGTCTATACCAACACAAGTGAATATTTCATGCTTCTCTGGACCAATTTTATCACAACAAAAAATTTTAAATTCAAAAAGTTAAACATTATTATAAAGATTAACAAATTAAATTAGCAAAATTGTGTTCAATTACTGTATTTAGAAGTTAAGTAGTATTGCCACATTTTCAAGAAACTAATAAAGTAAACAGTACTAAAATGAAAAACAAAGATACAGGAAAAAGCAAAGTAAATAAGTAAAATAAAATAAAATAAAAAATAAACAAAACAGTCTTAGCTTAAATCTGTTTAATAGCAGTAAATAAAGAAATAATTAAACAAAATCTGATCAAATTACTAGAATAGCTTTCATGGTTGTATTATTATTATATGAAGACTTATTAAGTATTAAAGCAAACTAAAACTCATTAAAGTTTTTTGCTAATTAATTGTTGTTACATTCTGGCACATATTTAGTTTGAAACTTCTGAAATTTAAAGAGGAAAAGCAGCTTTGAAGCTATTTTTTTTACAGTATAAAGTGCTATATAAATAAAATTGACCATTTGATTACATTCACTTATGACACAACTGGCTGCGTTTACATTAATATCCTGCCAAGACAAGCATTTGGACCGAGAAGTGCATTTGACCGTTCATGCACACAGCCACATTACCGCTCTCACATGCAAGCCAGTACTCATGGGAGCTTAAAAGCAGTGGCTTGAAGTAGACTGTAAAAAAACTATTTTTCAAAATTGCAAATAAAAAGAAGACTATTAAAGAATATTTTACAAGAAAATTCTGTCTTTCTACTAAATTCCATATTTAGTTCAATGTGTCACTTGCTGTTTGTTTGTAATTATTTGATGAAATAAATTACTAGCAATTTATATATTGTTTCAAAGTAAATCCTACACCAAAGTGAGCTGATACTACTACCAGTATTTGAAATCTAGTACCAAAGTACCAATACTTTTGACATCTTAGTAAGCTCAATGGCGATGTGATTGGATCTGACCATGGTTGTGCTTGGCCCATACACTGATCTCCTGGAGTTGGGTCAATGGTTATTGCTCACTGACTATATGTAAATCCAGACTGCCCTCTCACCCATTGTAATCCCATAATACTGTGGCAAATCAGATTATGGGGGCAAGTAATCACAGTGAGTAGCCAAACCCTGCTGAATCAACAGTTCAGAGAAACCACGCTATCTTAATTTAATTTGCAGCAGAGACCTGTTTCTTCAAACTTTGCACTGTGTAATTTCACAGTATCACACAGATGTGAAGTTGTATCTGAAAGGCTAATTCATGTCATATTGGGATGAAACGGTATTGTGATATGGTTACAAGACAAATAATAGCACAATAGACTAAATTGAAGTGGCCAATCCACAAGTGAGCTTGTAGTGTTAGTAAACAGTAGATTAGTGTTTCTCATTGGGGGAGTTACCGCCCCCCAGGGGGCGTTCGGAGAGCATCGGGGGGCGCTGGAAGCAATATTTTTGAAAGGGGGACGCTGAAGTGTTCTTGGGGGGCGTTTGGTTATGGCGAGTTTACACCAAAGATGTATGAGCTGAAACTTGCAAAAGAAAATGGTCTGCCAAGATCCTAACGCCGTCTCTACACTGGATGCATCAAATCACACTTTCTATATCAATTTGTCAACTTGACTGTAGCACAAGCACCTGGAATGTGTCCGAAATAGAATGCGGCATCCGTTTACTGTAGTTTACTGATTATAACAGGATCTATGTGCTTTAACACAAACTGTCGCGCCGTTCGCGGCCAGTGTAGTAGTGTTAGCTGTTAGTTTACACCAATACTCCCGCTTCTAGACTAGACGGTGTATCATTTCCTTGGCAATGACTTTTTACTTCAGTGTTCGCTTGACTTTCTGTAGCGCAGCTGCCGAACTTCCCATCAAAACAATAGCAAGCATTTAGAAACGATAAAGCATGAGATCCTTTTTCTTGTTTCGAAAAATTAATATGATAGCTTTTTGTTTGCTGATTGGCTACGGTTGGACTGAGTGCCAAATTTCTAAAGCGTTTATTCAAAGCTCACAAATATAGCCTACTTTATATCCACGTGGCTTTTTTGCTCTTTGGGAAACTAATGATAATGATATTTCATAAACAGAAATGTCATGTGGCATTCAGTGACATTTAAAAAAAAAATTATTATGTATTGGCTAATGTGGGCTGTTATATTTGGGTTAAAATACATGCTTTTAAAATATATATTATATATAAAATATAGCCTATAATATACACTAACATTAAAAAAGTCAGTAAGATTTGTTAATGGATTAATTTAAAAAAGGTTGCATTTGTTCGTTTAAAAAAATACAGTAAAAACAGTAAATCTACCATTTGGAAAAAAAGTGCTTTCTATTTGAATATATTTTAAAATGTGTTTTCCTCTCATGCTAAGCTTCACTGCTCCAGCTTTCAGTGTCACGTGATCTTTCAGAAATCATGCTGATTGTTGCTTAAGAAACATTTCTTCTTATTATTATAGCTGGCACACCACACTGACAAAAAAAAGCAAGTTTTGAAATTTAATTGACTATAACAAATATATAAATCAGGACAACACTGAAATAGTAACTATTCTGAAAATGAGGAGCATATGTATCCCATCTATCTACATCCCCAGTTCCAGAAAAGTTGGGACGTTTTGTGAAATGCCATAAAATCAAGAATATGTCGTTTGTTCTCTTTAACCTTTATTTAATTGACTGAAGTACAAAGAAAAAAATTCCAATGTTTTCACTGGCCAAATTAATTTTATTTTGTTAATATAAACAAATTTTGAGCCATGACCCAGCTTTGCTTGCAAAGACTGAGAAGCTCATTTTATACCCAAACATGATACCCTCACCTATTACCAATTCACTTGCTTGCTGTGAACTTTCAAAACCGTTTATTTGGTTATTCTATAACCTTTTCACTTTTATTTTGCCTCTGTCCCAACTTTTTGGGCGTGTGTTGCAGACTTCAAAATAAAAATCTGTTTATATTTACAAAATACATTTAAGTTGGTCAGTGAAAACTTTGGAAATCTTTTCTTTGTACTTTTGTCAATCAAATAAAAGTTAAATACAATTATCAAATCACAGATTTTATAATTTTACAAAACATCCCAACTTTTCTAGAATTAGGGTTGTACTTGGTTTTCTTTAAAGTATTTGTAAGCAAACTTTGAAATATTCTCACAAAATTTATGAAATATAGTAAAGTAGGCATGTGTAAATGTGGGCATGTGTGAGTATAATGGTTACTTTGATAATGGATAATGGGTAGGAGGCGCTGGCCCAAAAAAGGTTGAGAACCACTGCACTGTGATTTCAAGTAGTTCATTCACGGTTTGGTCCACCTACACAGTAGACCTTGACCCTCAATCCAAGGCCCTGGCACACAAGTCACGCTTGCAGTGTAGTCTAGTTCTAGTTCTTCAAGGTTTTTTTGGACCCTGTGGTTCAGGCGAAGCAGCCGAGACTCAGCCTCTCTAAATCCCCCACTCTGGGTGTGGCTGTAAATACCGCTGACGTTTTCTAGGAACTCAGCAGAGAGCTATAGAGTGTATTTAAGTGTGTTTGTGTGCATAATGTAGTTTGCTGGGATCATAAGACAGCAGCCTAATGTTTAGAGCAAATGCGCACAGGCAGGAGATAAAGCAAACAGTGGAAGCGGAAACCAGCAAAACCACCCTGACTTGTTCCAAACTCGACAATGGACCACAGTCTTTAAAGGTGAGGGGGTCAGTGCTGAATAAGCGCAACAATGCACGTTCAATGCTAGCAGAAACAACATGAAGGAATATTCCAGCTTCAGTACAAGTCAAGCTCAACCAGCAGGATTTGTGACATAAATACCACAAAAATTAATTTACATTTGTAAATATGGATAACTGTGAGGTACATACAATGGAAGTGAATAGGGCAAATTCACACGTCAAAACACTCACACTCAATATGCATGTTAGTAGGATGGGCGATATGGCAAGAATATCATATCATGATTTTTTTTCAGTGATCCATGATCTGTTCACAATTCATTTTTATGTTGATTTTAAAGGGTATTTCGTGAGTTAAACTAATTTCCCTGTTCCTTGGGAGAAAAATGCTTATTAACCTTTTCTGTGTGAAGTTATATCCAATTTTACATCTTTATTGCATGACAACATAATGCTGTAAACCCTACAATGACTGAGAATTTTACATTTAAACAGATTTACAAATCAAATAATACAAGAAATGTGTTATTTCATAAAATTCTAAGTTATATATTATGCTTCCAAAAACTGACCCTATTGATTTTATTTTATTTTATTCTTGTGGTTATTATGTCAAATACTGTCAACTTACCCAAAATATTACTTCAGAATAACCATTGCAAGTTGTTTACGTCAACTATTATTCAAGATAAAACTCAATCCTGTAGTAATTTTAAGCACTAATCATGCTAAAACCGTTTCAGAGAAGATCGGAAACCATAAGAGAACAGAAAATGGAGCGACACCTAAAATAAGTGCTATAAGATTCTGTCTGTTTGTTTCCCTGCTTTATGTTGATGTGACTTAGCTCTTTTTGAAAGCAGAAATTATTTTACAAGGACTAAAGTAATCTTTGTGTGAGTGTGTGGGTTTGAATGACTGAGAGCGGTCTAAGACAGCGAAGCGGCCTTGATCCTGGAACAGGGCTCTCATATTGTAGGGATTTAGAGCTAGATCTGGTGCCATGACCCGGAGCAAAGAGTAGAGGCCACTGGGTCACTGCAGAGTTGAGGATAAAGCATAAAAATACTGAGATCTCATCAATTTTCTACAATATTTGCCCAAGACTAAACATATCAAAGAGCACATGATTTCCTGAGCGTCATGGAAAACCAAACTCAAATCGGCCGGGTTCTTTATGACACTGCAGAGGTTTTGGAGAGGCTGCTGGAAGCATGACAGAATTCATCTGGAAAAGGGGGAACTGAGAGAAAAAAAGGGAGAGATCTAGCTGTTTTTAGAAGTCAGAGTAGGCTGCCATTTATTCCCAAGAAGAAGTCGGGAATTCTTCTAATGATTATGTAAGATGTGGGTGTGTGAATGGTAAAGAAGAGAAAGAGCCTCAAAGGTGCTTTCCTCCAATTCCTGCCTTTCTATTGAATCTATCAAGATCCGAAAGGCCAAGAATCATCACGCAATGACAATTTACAGCTGGGCCGGGAGCAGTAAAATCTGTAAAGTTATCCACACATGCACATAATAGACTCATTTCATAAGAATAAATATCAGTAAAACATATTCTTCGCACCTCTTGATCAGAAAGATCTCATAAGAAAGACTCATAAACAACTTCCATAAAATAATGATCAACGTGCCCAGGAGCAAAATACACACACAAGCTGTTGGATACAAAAGGAGGCTGAATTTATTGACTCGGTGCGGCACACCACAATCTGCGAAGGAGCTATAATGACGAGCAAAATATGAGCAAAATAACAAATGAAAACTATAATCAAAAAAGTAAACAGCATAGCTTAGGGCAATTGAGGCACTACAGCCAGTAAAAACATTTGATTAACTGGCTCTTCGTCTCCCTACAGACAAACAACGAGTCCACAACCAGCATTCCTCGACAAGAGTTCAGGTCTGGTAGAAAAAACAAACTTGTTTTTGGTTCTGTCATTTTTTCTTGCACACTCGCTGTCCGAGTGCACTGGACGAACCATGCTGATGTCTGGGGTCAGAGCTGGCGTCTGGTCCTGAATTTATGTCTGCCAGAAATTTCACAATTGTGGCCACAACCTCATTTTGGACCATGAAAGCTTAAAAGCTGCATTTGGTAAGTTTGGTACCAGAAAACACTGCTTTAAAAGTACTGAGCAATTCCCTCGGGCAGCATTAGTTGTGTAAGTATCCGCTATTATAAAAAAACTAAATGGGCAATCCAAAGTAGCAGAATAATAGTGATTTTTCAGATGGTCCAGCTGCATGGCAGCAGTTATAAAGCTCATACTGCAGGACTTTTTTTTTTTAGTGTGTGTAGGGCAGGCATGCAAAGAGGCCATTAAATCACTTTTGTTTAACTGACATGTCTTATTTGACTGAAGATTAAAGGGATAGTTCACCCAAAAATTAAAATTATGTAATTAATTACTCACCTTCATGTTGTTCCAAACCCGTAAGACCTTCGTTCACCTTTGGAACACAAATTAAGATATTTTTTGGTGAAATCCGAAAGCTTTCATCATGGTGCTCTTCGTGAACGCGCGGCAAAGACTGACACAGAAGAGAAGACATTTTTGAATTAAGTCATTATTTTTGTTTTCTTTGCACACATAAAATATTCTCGTAGCTTCATAAAATGAAGGTTGAACCACTGCTGTCACAAGGACTATTTTAACGATGTCCTTGCTACCTTTCTGGGCCTTGAACATGGTAGTTGCGTTGCTGTCTGTGCAGGGTCAGAAAGCTCTCAGATTTCATCAAAAATATCTTAATTTGTGTTCAAAAGATGAACAAAGGTCTTACAGGTTTGGAACGACACAAGGGTGAGTAATTAATGACAGCATTTTCATTTTTAGGTGAACTAACCCTTTAAAATCTGCTTGTTCTGATCCCTATTTTACTTAGACAGGAACTAAGGTTTAGACAATTTCTATATTAAAGGGATAGTTCACCCAAAAATGAAAATTCTGTCATTAATTACTCACCCTCATGTCGTTCCAAACCTGTAAGACCTCTGTTCATCTTTGGAACACAAATTAAGATATTTTGGATGAAATCCGAGAGCTGTCAGACCTTCCCATATACAGTACAGCAAGGGTCATGAAACTTTCAAAGTCCAGAAAGGTCAGTTCAGGAGGCGCACTCACGAGGGCACTACGACGCCTGCGTCTTCCTCTGCTTGTAAACAAGGCGCCAAGGCGTGGGCGTATCCGGGTATACGTTAGCAGCACGACACGCATGCATCGTAGTGCCCTCGTGAACGAGCTTCCTGAACTGACGTTGAAGAGAAGAAATTGTCGAATAAAGTCGTTATTTCAGTTTTTTGTGCACAAAAGTATTCTCGTAGCTTCATAAAATGAAGGTTGAACCACTGATGTCACATGGAATGTTTTGACAATGTTTTTGGTACCTTTCTGGACTTTGAAAATTTCATGACCCTTGCTGTCTATGGAAGGTCTGAAAGCTCTCGGATTTCATCCAAAATATCTTAATTTGTGTTCCCGAAGATGAACGAAGGTCTCACGCATTTGGAACAGCATGAGGGGGAGTAATTAATTAATCATTTTTGGGTGAACTATCCCTTTAAATTTCTATATTAAATTAAATTGCGCCACTAACTGTAAAATTATTTTTTACAAGTAAAACTGCTATAGAAGAATAATTTCAAAATACTATAGGATTCTGGTCAATACCAAAAAGCAGATAATCATTTCATTTTATGGATGATAACATTAAACATCTGATATTAAAATTATATACTATTTTGTCTAAATTAATACAGAAAACACCACTAAAAGCCCTAAAAAATGTTTTTAATCATAGAAATTTTGGCATAACAACATTTTCGAGATTACAGGTGTTATTAAAGCTGCAGTCCATAACTTGTTTTGGTTAAAAATGATCCTAAATCAACATTTGAGCAAGTACATAACCAGCCAGTGTTCAAAACTATCGCCTTACTTTAGCCTGTTTCACAACGGTTAGTTTATAATAATGTTTTCTAATTTGAGTGGTACGGGTAAATTTTCGCGGGAAATTCGAGCATGCCACTGTGTCATTACGTCACGTCTGTAAACAAAGAACTTGTCCCGGCTTCTAGGCTATCGCATGTGAGGATCCTGCATGTGGCCGATCGTTTATAGCCTTTTCTCACAGCATCATTTTGATGGCGGATTGTAATCCAGAAAGGATTATGTGTTTATGAAACATGTAAATTAAATTAAATTATATTCCAGTTTTCTAAATTACAGATAGCCTGGGATTACACAAGATTTGTATTTTAAAGACAACCAGTTCGAAGGTTCAGGAGCTTCCTATATCTGCTAAATTGTGCCACTAACTGTAAAATTATTTTTACAAGTAAAACTGCTATAGAAGTATAATTTCAATATACTATAAGGATTCTGGTCAATACCAATAATCATTTCATGTTATGGATGATAACCATTAAACATCTGATATAAAACTACATACTATTTTGTCTAAATAAATACAGAAAACCCCACTAAAAACTAAATAATTTTTAATTATATGAATTTTGGCATAACAATATTTTTAGGATTACAAGTGTTCTTAAATTATTAGTATATTTAAAGATTAACTTTAAGTGAATGTTAGATTAGTGCAAAGGTGATTGGAATTACAAAGGTTATACCTACAAAGAAAACCTTTTGGAATATGTTCAGTATGACTGACATGACTTGCTATAGACAGTATGTAGTCATGAAATTGGAGTCCCCCATCCAATCATGTGGCGAGGCATGTGATGAGTCAGTTTGCTATGACTGACCATTTATGATCAGATCATGATATGAAAGTTAAAGTCAATGTGAAATGCTTCTCGCAACTCATTCCATATGTGACATTTTATCCAAGCAAATCAAGAAACACCACATTTTTCCCCCTGTGATACGTAGACCAAATTCCTAGCTATCTGGTGGTTGGTTAACATTATCCAATAGCCCGAGTGGTCTGATGATGTCAGAGGTTAAGGAAAGATATTTCACAGGAAGATCAAGTTATGTATTTTTA